GTGACGGTGATGGTGATGTTGTACTCGGCCTGGCTCTCTCTGTCCAGCGCTCCTTCAGTTACTAAGGTGTAGAAATTTTCTACAGTAAGTTTCAAAAGGAAGGGGAGATGGTCTTGGATGGAACACATCATTTTGCCATTTTCCCCGGAGTCTGGATCTGAAATTCCAAAAATAGCGACCACGGTACCAGGGGTATTTTCTGGGATATCACTGGTGAATACTGACATAGTCAGTTCGGGCGTGTTGTCGTTTACATCCATCACTTCTATGGCTATAGAGCATTTTCCTGATAGTCCCCCGCCATCTGAAGCCTCAATTTCCATACGATAAGATTGAATTTCCTCAAAATCCAACATTTTTTTTAATCGAATTTCCCCTGTGACTGAGTTTATTTCAAAGGCCTGAATCACTTGATTTGAGGACTGGAAAAATGAGTAGGAGAGTTCTCCAAGGGTCCCAGCATCTAAATCTCTAGCAGTCACAGTGATGACAAGGGACCCTATAGGGCTGTTCTCTGGGATTTGCACCTCATAGAGGAGCTGAGCAAATTCAGGAGCATTATCATTTATGTCCAAGACTACAATGAGAACCTGAGAAGTCCCAGTCCTAGGCGGTGACCCACCATCCATGGCCATGAGCGTTAACCTGAGCTCTGACTCCTCCTCCCGGTCCAGCGCTTTGTCCAGCACCAGCTCAGGGTATCTCCTGCCATCGCTGTGATTTCGAGTGAAAAGGTGGAAATGGGAGTTGTTGCCAATAGTGTAGTTCTGAACTGTATTACTGCCCACGTCTAAATCTTGAGCTATTTTCAAAGGAAATGCAGTCCCTGGACGGCTGCTTTCTGAGATTTTCAGGAGGATTTCATTTTCCAAGAATTTTGGGGCATGGTCATTTATGTCTCGTAGCTGTAGTTCACCTTTAATAAACTGCACTGGGCTTTTTAATAAGACCTGGAAATGCAGTATACATGGATCTGTGTCACCGCACAACTCTTCCCGGTCCAATTTTTCTTTTAGGAGCAAATTCCCACTCTTCTGCTCGAGCTGCAAATACTGTTGATTCCCTTTGGAAAGAATTCGAGCACCCCGCGCGGCCAGCTCCCCCAAGCCAAGCCCCAGATCTTTCGCGAGGTTGGCCACAAAGGAGCCGCTTTCCCTCTCTTCTAGAACCGAATACTTAATGGTCGTACTGCCCACTTCCCACCGTATTAACATTATTAGGATAATAATGGCGGTCACTTGCCTTTTCTGCTGCGCTTTGGGTAGCGTTTTCTCCATCGTTCTTTGGCGTCCAAAAGATGCAGTATTTAATCACAAAGTAATTGCTGTGCAGCCAACTCTACTATCTTGATTTAATAATCTTGAGTTAGTTCCTAACATTGACTGACATGGGGATAGCGGCCTCTCTGAAACCTACTATGCCCCAAGAGTGTAAAACGTTTCCTTTTCAAGCAGCCGGAAACTGCTCAGCCGTTACAGAGGCTGCAGAGTTTTTCCACTTTCTTAACCTGCAGCGCCACCAAGCGTCCTGCCTTACAACTTCAGTTTTTGTGGGTTTTTTGGTGGGTTTTTTTGTTGTTTTTCATTTCAAAGCATCATGCAACAGTTAAAACAAAAAGAAAGCCTTTTGGGTTATAAACTCCCCTCCACCCCATTGTGCAGTATTCTTCAGGTGCTAACAATATTTGTGAGAGCAAAAGTAATACTTACATATCTATGTTTATATTCATCTTCTTTAAAGGTACAAGTTCAGTATACAAAACTGCTCAAGACAAATTCATTTATTCATTTAACCAGTATTTCTCTATGCAGGCAGTTTTCTAGCTTCTGGAGATAAAATGGTAAATTAAACACAAAACTCTTGCTCTTGGGTGCTTACATTCAATTACAAAAAAATTGCTGTATTGTGTTAGAAGAAGTTATGAATTTTATTTTATTTTTAAAGATTTTATTTATTTGAGAGAGAGAATGAGATAGAGAGAGAGCATGAGAGGGGAGAGGGTCAGAGGGAGAAGCAGACTCCCCGCTGAGCAGGGAGCCCGATGCGGGACTCGATCCCGGGACTCCAGGATCATGACCTGAGCCGAAGGCAGTCGCTTAACCAACTGAGCCACCCAGGCGCCCAAGAAGTTATGAATTTTAAAATCCACTTTCTACTCCCAAATTGCATGTGCCTGTAACTCCTGGAAAAAAAAATTTAAGATTTTATGTATTTATTTGAGAGAGAGAGAGAGCATGAGAGGGGGGAGGGTCAGAGGGAGAAGCTGACTCCCTGCCGAACAGGGAGTCCGACACGGGACTCGATCCTGGCACTCCAGGATCACGACCTGAGCTGAAGGCAGTGGCTTAACCAACTGAGCCACCCAGGCGCCCCAAGGTTTTATTTATTTGACACAGAGAGACACAGCGAGAGAGGGAACACAAGCGGGGGCAGTGGGAGAGGGAGAAGCAGGGAGCCTGATGCGGGGCTCGATCCCAGGACTCTGGGATCATGACATGAGCAGAAGGCAGACGCTCAACGACTGAGCCACCCAGGCGCCCCCTGAAAAAATTTTAAAATGTGATTTCTTGTCAGTCTCTGGGCAATTTTTTCCTTGGTAAATTCACTTTGTGCAATGCCCAGTAAGACTAAGAGGAAATGGCCATTTGTTTTGTTAGAAATCAATGTAAGTTCAGAATTCAGACAATGTCTTTTCTACAAACATGTAGAAGGCAAAAAATTCAATGGAATCAAAGATATACTTTTTTGGGAAGGGTTTTGATCTGTCAACAGTGGACAGTGGCCCATCCCAGTGTACATCCCCTGGGACTATGGAAATGGGTATATTGAAAAACACCATGGCACCAACTAAAGTCAAGTGGCTGCAGTGACACTAGCAGGAAAAGTAGTTACCCCCAGAGAAGAATGCTTTTCCAAGGAGGAGGGATAAGTATCTAAGAATACAAAACAGTAAGTGTTCCCTATAGTCATTGTTCCAACTGGTAATCATCTATGACAGTTCACTTATTTGGACACAAACCTCAGCCAAATATAATTTAGTTAAGCCTAGTTCCATTTTAATTAAGGATAAGAATAAAATATTCACTCAGCTATCAGTTTAGTATAAATTACCTGACTTTGATGGAGAGTTGAAAAGAGAAATTTTTCTTAAGATACTACAAATAAAACCAACACAAGACAAATATGACCTAAACTGTGAAAGTAAATGATTTTATGATTAATAAAGATTAATGATACTTACACAGCACTTTATTTATGACATTACCTAATAACCTGCCATTAATTACTTAGTTCTTGGCAGGTATCACACATGTAGAAGCTTGAGAAACTAGGAGGAAGAGTTTGAAAAATATACTTTGGGTTTTATTAAATAATACATTTTAAGGAGCACCTGAGTGGCTCAGTCGGTTAAGCGTCTGCCTTCAGCTCAGGTCCTAATCCCAGGGTCCTGGGATCGAACCTATAGCCTGCTTCTCCCTCTCTCTCTGGTTTCTTCTCCCTCTCCCTCTGCCTGCTGCTCTCCCTGCTTGTGCTCTCTCCGTATCAAATAAATAAGTAAAAACTTTAAAAGTATACATTTGAACTTTCAAATTGATAGACAAAGACAAGGAGATAAAATATACTCTCAACATTTTATATTCTGTAATAGAGTTTAGGGTGTGTGGAGGGTGGTTTCCGTTTAGAAAGAAAGTAAAGAATGATATTTAATTTCACTTATTGACAAAGGTACTGCATTGTGGAGAGAATATTAACATTTTTCTATATTCCTTGAAAATTAACCTTTGAAATTCACTGTTGGAATGTTAATAATATTCATCAAATATTTATCATGCATTTATAATTGACTTGATATTACTAAAAAATACTATCATAAGCTTACATGAAGCTCACAAACTGGGGTTTAATTTATTGACACTTTTGTGCAAAGTTTATATGCATAGAAAAATGTTTTGACTATTATGGTATATTGAAATACACATAAATATGAATGGCTGTCTTAGCATTTAGCCATCTTTAGTGTATATCTTTAATTATTCACATTGTAGCCATTACCCCAAAATGAGACTTACACTGGCAGATTAATAATATCAAACACTCACATTTTATGTTTTTAAAGTAGGCTCTATGCCCAGTATGGGGCTGGAACTCACCACCAAGATCAAGAGTCACATTCTCTACCAACTGAGCCAGCCAGGCACCCCCAAACACTCACACTTTAAAAATTTCCCTACATGGTAATGGTGATGACAGTTATCACCAATAGTTAGATATACAATCTTACTTAAGGGCTTTGTATTACAATTTTTCTAAGACGAATAGATGATTGAATTTCAAGAATTTTAAATTATGCAAGTAAAATTTTACTTTTTATTCAGATTGTCAAATATAGTTGAGAGTAATACAAATCTACTAAGCATAATATAGGGAAAACACCGTATATACCCATATCTGATTTTTTTCAACCTAAGGAAGTGTAGTAAAATAATTAAAAAACAAACTATCAATAACATTTAACTAAGTTAAAAGATTTTCAAACTAAGTAGGACTTAATAGGATAATCCAATACTTAACTGAATAGGAAACTATCACGAACCGTGGGGTTTTCCTCCATTTCCTTTCCAGTGCCCTGAGGAGGGAAGTTGGGAATAATGGGCTTGAGGAACTTGAACTCGCTGGTCCCAGATCCTCCCCTCAGACACACCTCGTACTGGTAGCTGTGGGACAGGGTCCCC